GGGTATCAAAACCCGGTTTACTAGCGTTGCAAGTCTGCAGCCATACCGCTGTGCCACTGGGGGTCAAAGACAATCAGAACCGTCTGTAGAAGTAGGAGGTCAAGGAAACGGTTTCGACTGGTTTCCTAATGAAGTAATCTCCTGCCTCTAACGCTTTAGTTATGGGCTTTGTCTCCATCATATTGTGAACTCTTGACGTATGCGTTTACATTGACGCTCCTGTGCCTTTATTTCGAAGGTTATGTTAATGTGATAGTTCACTGGATTGATAAAAAGATCTATTTTTCCAGAAAGAAACCTGAACTAAGTTTAAGAGATGGGTAAATGTATTCAACAAGTTTGTTGTCTACAAGTGAAAACAAACTTTGATTTTTGAAACGGAGGCTATATTTACACAACAATTACACCAAGCCAAATCATCAACACTTGATTTTCATAAATAAGAACAAATCTAAGCGATACATTATTTGACATCATTAAAACGTGTTACAATTTATTGTAGACAAGTAGTTAACCACTAACAATAATTGCTTACAGAAACATAACGAAATGTAAATTGGTCAAAAGGGGTTGGGGTGCGTATATGTTGTGAGATGATTATAAAATCAACCATACTAGAAAACTAAAACAAAAAAGAGTGGATGAGGATCTCAGTTAGAACAGCCCACATAACACCAGAAATTAAAAAAAAAAGAAGTAATAAAATCGGTAAGAAGGAGATGAACGTCATGATTCCCCTGATGTTATGAAAGGATGAGGAAAAAAAGATGATGGACATATTTTAACCAGTTATTAAACGCGGTAGGAGTTAACCCATTAAAGAAAGATGGTGGACATAGTTTAAACAATTATTAAACGTGGAGTTAACCCAACAAAGAAAGATGATGGATGTACTTTAACCAATTATGAAACCTGGTGGTAGCTAACACAGCAAAGATGGTGGGAATACATTCACCAGTTATTAAACACGGTAGGAGTTAACCCATTAAAGAAAGATGGTGGACATAGTTTAACCAGTTATTAAACACGGTAGGAGTTAACCCATTAAAGAAAGATGATGGACATAGTTTAAACAATTATTAAACCTGGTGGTAGCTAACACAGCAAAGATGGTGGGAATACTTTCACCAATTATTAAACCTGGTAGGAGTTAACACAGCAATGAAAACACATACGTATTCTAACAAAACCAGAGGAGAAAGAACTGGATTTTCGAAAGTTTGAAAATATTGCTACACGGTAACGTATCAGGAAAAGATAATATTGAAATGTTTTGTTCGGAGGAGAAATTGGAATTAAATGGATAACCTAAGCTATCCAAGTGGCTTGGAACCAAAGACAAGCATGTTGTGGTTAAAGATCCAAGAGAGATTATATTACTACTTCACGCAGTCAACGTAGATGCCTTAAAAGCACGATTGGG